AAAGAATTACAACGGATTAAAAATAAATTTTTCACAAACGTTTCCACTCTACACTGTAATCTACATTATGCTTGTATATTCTACGCGTTACTCACATTTATCACAAGCTAGTAAAATCCTATTTACAACGAGTCAAACGACGTAACCGACAAAATGGCGGCTCCCGTGAAAGCATTTCACAAAATCATTTTTCGATCCTTGTCCCACCTTAAATTCCCGAAAATTCCTCTAATGCGTTCTATGCACTCGAATATCTCACAAACGCGTAAAATCCCATTTACAACGAACCAAACGACGTAACCAGCGACAAGGTGGCACGGTAACACGAAGAAAGCCGGGCGGCGTGCGTGAAAAGGCAGGTGTACCGTCGCCGCCTGCACATGCCTCATCATCGGAGTTATGTACATTCAATTTGTTCCGTCGGCCCCGGCACAAAGTGTCTCCCGCTCCGAGCCAGCCTCTCCCTCGCCCTCGCGAGACGTAAAACCGCTCGTAAAACGCGCGCGCGTGTTCACGGAGGCACCCGGTGCCCCATCATCGCGAGCTCCTCCGACTCTCCGGCTGTAGAAAACATTTCCCCGCGGAACGACGCGTGCCACGGGTCGCGTTTCGACTGAAACTACTACCCCTTTTACCCTTCTATTAGCCACCGAAACGTTCGCGTTTCATTGAACTCTGACATCGCTGTATTTTTAACCCTTTGCGGACGAATGTCGACGTTTCGGTAAAATGAATCCTGTTTCGAAGACTGACTCGCAAACAAATGATTTAATTAGTCAAATAGTAAGAGATCAGCATAGCTTCTATTTTTCCTATTATTTAGACAACTGATATATCATTTAGTTTCGTCTGATGAAGATCTTGTGTATTTCAAAGAATCTTCGTCCGCAAAGGGTTTCAAAATGAATTCTACAAATCTAATATGGTACTTCCGTCGAATGCACATGGAACTTCTTTTTCTATTTCGAATATTTCTGGTAAATTCTACATGAAACTCTCATATGCTGACAAAAAAGAATCACCGATCTCTTCTTACTCCAACGAATCAATTGTTTGTACAAATTTGAGCCGCAGAAATAGGAAAAATATTCAGGCTATATAGAATTAAATTCATGACAATGCGACTTATAAATTTCAATGTTACAGCATTCATGTCATTTTGCATCACCATAAAAATGAATGCTATAGTATTCACGTCCTTGAACGTGTTAACAATTTCCCAGTCCGTTACCTTTTTCATAATCGCGATAAGACGTCAGGAATATGTAACTTGCAACCGGCTGGTTTTAACGTTTAATTTCTTCTAGCAAACGAACTCGCATCGGAACCAGCGGTTCTCGAAGATTCGATTTCGCGTAAAGATCCGCCGTCGCGAGTAACGGTGCCAGTTTCGGCGTCGGATGAAAACACGGCCCAGGGGCAGCGCTCGTTTAGAAGCGAGCCGCGAGACGACAGGGAAAAACGAGGCGGAAAAAAGAGAACGAACGAGGAAGAGCGCGCGCGAACCTTGAAAGGTTTATGATCCGCCGGCCCGTCTCGCAATTAGGCGCGCGTAACGAGATCTCGCGCCCGCGCCCTTTTCCAGCGCAATTTTCGTCCGAAGAACCAGGAACCCGAACGGCGGAGCGCAGGACCGGCTCTTTTCCGAAGTAATTAACCGAGTTAAGCGTCCCGCGCGCACTTGCCCTCCTTTGTCGTTGTTGTGTCCGCTTCGAGAGTAATTACGCGCGTCGCTGTTTTCGACGAGGATTAAGCGACTCGTTCGCGGCCTATCGACCGACGGAACCTTTCAACCTTGCCCCGGGGCCATGGGAAAACGCGTTTTTGCGAGTAACGCGCAACGAAGATTCGACCGAGTCGACTGCGCGAAACACTGTCTCGAGCGAAATGTTCGATCAATCTGAGATTTTGCGGTGTTTCTGGGTTGTATAGGTCTTTAAGAAGGTGCTGGAGAAGTTTGGCAGCGGAATTTGGAGTAATTTGGATGGTGGAGGCTTTTCATGGAGGGAGAACGACTGATTTTTTGAATATATGGGGATTTTAGGTGTTGAGGAAGTTTGATAATGGAATTTGAAGAGATTTGAGTGGTAAGGATTGCTAATGTGGAAAGAACGAGTGATTTTTCGAATATATGATGATTTAAGAAGGTGCTGGGGAAGTTTGGCTATGAAATTTGAAGGAATTTGAGTGGCAAACGCTTTTGATGGAGGGAGGGACGAATGATTCTTCGAAGGTGTGGGCCTTTAAGAAGGTGCTAAAGAAGTTTGGCAGTGGAATTTGAAGAAATTTGAATGGTAAGGGCTTCTAATGCAGGGGGGAACCAGTGATTTTTCGAATATATGGATCTTTAAGAAGGTGCTGAAGAAGTTTGGCAACGGAATTCGAAGTAATTTGGACGGTAGAGCCTATTAATGGAGGTAGCAACGAGCGATTTGTCGGAAGTGGGAACGTTTAAGAAGGTTCTGTTGAATTTTAGCAATGGAATTTGAAACAGTTCGCCTACTGAAAGCTTCCACAAGAACAGGGAGCAGATGATTTGTCGAAAGTAAGAATCTTTAAGGAGGTATAGTTCAATTTTGGAATTTAAATGTAAAGTAGTTTGGTTATTAGTAAGCCTTTTGGAAGCAAGGTCGAGTTATCGTTGACAGTATAAATTTGCAAGAAGCCGTTATTAAATTTTGGCGATGAAATTTGAAATGGTACTCCAGATAAAACACTTTCAAACGAGGAAAATGGTTTAAAACCTCGGGAACTCGGGTAAGAATGAATGTTGATCGGTTTACTGGTCGGGATAAAATAATTTTAATGAAAAACTCCGGGTAAATGGATGGAAGAACGGGAATCAACTAACTTTCAATTGTAACTGATTCCATTAGCGGCAATTCCGTTCCTTTGACAATTCCCGAACAAGGTATCCCATTGATTAAACCGTCACGACCTCTTCCGAAACGTACAATCTACATTGAACCACGAATTAGTGGATGCAATTCCGAATTCCTTGATCTCAGCCACTTCTACGATAGTGCGTCCATAGCTTGTCATTATATCGTACCGTCGACGATCTCATAATTAAATTAATACCAAACATTTCCTAAAATATCTCGGAACGAGGACTCCATTCACTGAATGGATTGCCCGATTCAAGAACTACGAAGCATTACTGCACTTAATATCTTTAATCCTCTTAGTGCCTTACAAGCTTTCCCTGCGTTACTTGGGAATGCCTATGGAAATTTATATTTTCGATGTTGTTTGTCGAAATGAATGTTTCTCCTACGAATAACCAATAACTGTATTTTTACTATAGTTCACTATATTTTACTATATTTTATTATATTTCATTTTATTTTACTATATTTTACTGTAGTGTACAATACTTTACTATATTTCACTATACCTTACTATATTTCATTATACTTCACCATATTTCACTATACTTTATTATATTTTTCTATATTTCATATACTACTATACTATCCCTTACTATATTTCACTATCCCTTACTATATCTCACTACACCCTTCTATATCTCACTACACTTTACTAAATTTCATTACATTATCAAACCATTCAAGACTCAATACTTAAAATCATTCGTTTCACCACTCGAATCGCTTTGTATTATTTTCACAAGATCCTCGTAAACATTCCCGGCCCCGTTTTATCGTCGTTTCTACCGCCGCGGGAAAGGAAGAATAAAATAATAGAGATCCAGTCGCGTTTCAATTATGTCCAGCAGAAAAAAAACTACCAGGAACAGATAAATTCCGCGGCGGACGCGTTGTTCACAGCCGGGGAACGCCATTAACGGGGTAACGGGCCGTCGATAATGCTGCGTTAATGTAGCCGGGGCCGATTCATTGCGATTAGAACAACGTTCCGTCCCTTCATTTACGGCCAATTGCGTCGAATCGTCGACGGATTTCGCGGTTCCCCGTATTTCGTCGCTCCCGCGACTGTTTATCGTTCCCAGCCCCTTCCCGGCCGAAACAAATCGATCCCCAGCTACCAAACGCGGACTCGTCGAACACCAGATGGGAGTTAACCGTGAAAACTGATCCAGACAATGGAAATAATAGTCCTCAAGTGGATTGTGCTGCTGGCGTGGTAATAAAGACTCGTTAAAAACGCTGTGGTTTGTTTGAATCGCGGTATTTTCGCGCGTAACGCGATCCACGAGGCGTGCCACTGTATTTTTGATCGATCGATAGAGTAGATCGATAAAATACTCTGTGGATAATGTCGTAGAAAAAGAGATTCAGTCTACTTTATCTTGAAACGGTTCTGCCAGCATCGACAGAACGAAAGGATAGAATGGACGTGTAATGTAAACGTTCGTCACGCGGGAGGGGGATTACGTGACGCTCGTATCATTCCGGTGCTACTTACAACGTTACCGACGGAGAACATGCGTAAATAATTATTATACTTTCGGGAAATGGTGCGCGGAATGTCTAATGTGTCTTGAAGAAAGCAATTGCACTGCGAAACGGTGATGATGAAGTGTAATTCTTCTACGAAAGATTCATGAGAAAGTAGTTTACCGATTGTGGCGAACATCGACGAACAGTGGCAAACATTAGCGAACATCGAAGAATACCGATCGATATAGAGAACACTGACGAATATCGACAAACACTGGTGAATAGTGGTGAACACTGACGAGCATCGATGAATATTATCGAATTCTAGCGAACATCGACGAGCACCGACGAAAATTGGCGAACATCGACGAACATTGGCGAACATTTACAGCAAATATATTTGAACGTGTTTGACGAACATACGGCTAACATTAATAATATTCATAACGGTACGAATAATATACGTTGCAATGGAATTATAGAATGCAATTTTTCATTTACAAATAAATTTCAACGTGTACACGTAAACTTCCGTTCAACGGCTAACAGTCGACAATTCTACGCGATCAGACGCGTGTACTGTGCGCGTGTGTACGTGTATTTTTAACTCGATGAATATTGATTAATTCTACTTACCTCAGTTCGCTGACTATCGCGCATTTCAAAACTCCGCCAAGTCCAGCGTTGTTCAACCAATAGGTCGAGAGGAAAGAAGGTGATTTCCACAGAGTTAAATAGTCCAGTGTGGGACACATTACGTTGCAGGAGTGTCCGATAATTGCTTCCAACAGAGATGCCTCGATATTCTCGTGAATGTGGGCGATACGCCGCAGAAGAGGTCTGAAAAATACAGGGACTGGTTGCAGTAACTGAAACACCTGCATTCGGGAAATTCTGTATCAATACTATATAGATCCACCATTAGCCTCTAATACAGTCTAAACTTTCTTATGCACGGAATCTTGTAAATCCTGAATAATATTTAATCAATCTCACGGAATAATCAATAAATATTACTATATTACTATATTATCATTACTATTTACTATACTATTATAATTTCATATTACAACTTACATACTTATCCCCTCAAATTAACCATTGACACACCAAAAGACAACATTCAAAACCAACGAAACACTTCGTTTCATACGAAACAAAAATTGTTTATCTCAACACGTCTGCTACGATGATCACCGATGACCAGAGATCCAAATATCTGAATTCTCCGAACCACTTGAAAACAATTACTCGTAACAAATAACACGTCAAATAAAAATCAACAGCGTGAATAAGTTATAGTGTAACCTAAGAACAGTGGTAGCAAATCATTGATAATTACCCTTTTCCTTTCCTATAAAAGAATAAACGACACATAAAACGCCGAAGTACCTTGTAGCAATTAACCTGTTAATTATTCCACCGAACCGTAAACATTCTTCGACCATCCGCAACTCGCCTCTGCGTCAGCCACCCTCGAACACACGACTAACAACCAACTTTCCCCTTGTTTTCGCCACCCTTCCGCTGGCCGCGACAACCGCGTATCTCCCAAATGTGATCAAATTCGCGAAATGAGTGGCCCGAAAGAGTAGTCACGAACAGGGGTTAAGGGGCGGCGTGAACTCGATATACAAAGTGGCACGATGAATTCGGTCTGAAGATAAAAAAAATAGAAACCGGCGAGGGAGGAATGAAAGAAACATTCCTCCGGTATCGAGCACTGTCATCGTTGGCATTCGGCACGGCATCGAGCATCCCCAATTTATTATCCCCTAATTTATTACCGGCAGCGAGAGGACAATGGGTCACGGATAAGGGCCGATAAATATTTATGGAAGAAATTCATGCGTCGGAGGAGTAGGTTTTCGGCTCTCCCCGGCGCGATGACACGTCTCGCGCCCGCGAGGATTTGGGGAATCACGAGCCCTGAATATCAAGGGGTCGCGGCGTATTGATTCGATTTGTCCGAGTGATCGAAAACGTTCTTCCGGCGAGGAAGCTTGCGCGCACGTTTGCTCGCCGGCGAGCGTCTTTTCAAGCGGGAAACTGGGAATAGGTTACTATGTATCTTTTCTGTTAATAAATTGCTGATGGATAGGTAAATATTTGAATTGTACGGGGGAACCGGTGATCGTTTAATCCTTCTGCTGGAAAAGGAAACGAATTATGGGAATTTTAATATTATTTTATTGGAAATGAATTATGGGAATTTTATGTTATATTATTTTAACACTAGGTTTACGGGCATTTATTGTACAGTTTATTCTATTGTTCCTGGGGAAGTTGATATTCGTTCATTTAGATTTTGGAAAGTGTAGATGTAGAAATAGTCAATCAGGATTTATATTGGTGTAATTGGATCAACGAAAACCGATTAAAACATTTACCAAATAATACTTATAAAATTCAATCTGCGTCAAATTGACGCATTCCGTAAACCTAGTGTTAATAGGAAAAGAAATTATAGGAATTTTAATGTTGCGATATTGTTGTGATATTGTTGCGATATTAGTAGAGTACTGTTGGAGGATTATTAGAATATTATGCAATATTATTAGATTACTGCAGTATTATTAGAATATTACTGTAATATTATAACAACATTAATATGGTTAATGTTATATTAGAACGGTTATTACTATAATTATTGAAATAGATCTTAGAATAGTTCTTCGAAGGGTTATTAGAACAATCCTCCGAACAGTTATCAGGGTAGTCATCACAAGCTACTAAAATAATAATTAGAACAATCATTAGAATAGCCAATAGAATACTTAATCTAATACCTATCTAATACCTAATGAAACACTCAATAGAATACTTAATAGAACAGTTAATGCAACGGCCAATTCATCAGTCAGTATAATATTTAATACAGCACCACACAGAATAATTAACAAAACCATTATAGACTAATCAATAGAATAGTTAAGTAGAACAGTCAACAGAACACTAACTACCACAACAACAATGCCTCAAACGCTTAATACAATAACAAAACAACAACTCTAACATCCGCCTAACCCTCAACGAACAATCTTCCAAAAAAACCAAAAATCCCAAAGATCCATCGCAGCAACCGTAAAGACTCTTACCTCAAAAATTCCAAAAATGATCCGTGAACATCAAGTTATTAACGTCACAAAGTTCCTAATTTCTCTAACATCCACCTAATCCTCAACCCGTTCCTCCAAAGAAAAAATCCCAAAAATCCACCGCAGCAACCGCGAAAACTCTTACCCCAGCGATTCCAAAAATGATCCGTTAGCATCAAGTTATTAGCGTCTCACTCGAGGTCCCTAATTTCTCCAGCATTCTCACCCCAACGTGAGCTCCTCGACTCAAACAGTCAGCCTCGAATACCATGACACTGTTACGCGAGAAATTGCCGGGATATCTGTTTAAAGCACGGCGGGACCGGTGTTCTAGCTGCGTGACGTCGAAACAAAGAGAGAGAAAGAGAGAGATAGAGATAGATAGAGAGGGAGAGACGGAGACGGGATAAATCAATATCCGCCGGTGTTCCCCGTGAAACGGAAGAATTTTTACGACGATCGTATTTATCTGAGGGCCGTGGCCGAAGCTGCGACGAATGGGGAGAGGATTTCTGTCCCGAGGAAACCGATGGAAATTAAAGTCCGATGAATCACGGCCAAGGAAACGAGACACAGTGGGTGGGATTGATTCCCTTCCGGCGGAGGACCGGTAACCGGCGGGGATGAAATAAAAAGGGGGAAAAAAAGCATCGAATCATGACCTCCCTTCAACGACGCAGATCCGACCACCGTTTCGACCTGTTTTATGACCGCCCGACCAATGAGGTTATCGTGGTGGTCCGGCACACCGGGTACACATAAAATTAGAAATAAAAATAGGGGTTGGTGGGGACGACACCAGGGGCAAGATGCCGGTGCGAGAAGTTAGATTATTGGCCCTCTTTTAAATGCGTACTGTGATGATTGTTATGGATTGTATAGAGGATAAGAGGATGTGGAAGGGTTGATGATCTTTTATGATAGCGTATGACAGGATTGGTGGCTGCCTTGCGAAGATGGGAATGGAAGATTGATTAGCTGTGCTAGAGTCTGTTTTGGTGTGGACTGTGTTATCTGGATCTAAAGTAATGTATTCAACTGGAATTAATGTAATCTAGAACTAATACGATGTAAATGCAGTCTAGTTCGGAGGTGATGTAGACTCAAGTCTGGGACTAGCCTGGTCCTGAAGCAGTTGAGACTAGAACTAATCTAGTCGCGAAGTAAATCTGTGAGCCCTGTAGTTGAAAAGCAGTCGAATCCAAAAATAACCTAGTGCCAAGGCAGTCAAGTCTAAAACTATCTCAGTCCCAAAGCAGTCAAGTCTAGTACTCATCTAGCCTCAAAGCAGTCGAGTCTAGAACTTATCTAGCCTCAAAGCAGACAAATCTAGAACTTATCTAGCCCCAAAACAGTCAAGTCTAGAATTAACCCAGTCCCAAAGTAGTCAACTCCAAAACCACCCCACTCCCAAAGCAAGCAAATCTCTAACTCCCCATTCCAAACCCATTCAATCCAAAAATAACC